TTGGCCTTCTTTTTAATTCTGTGAGAATGATGAAGATATCTAGATATATGAATCTAGATAAAGAATATTGCTGTAAAAAATTGTCACATTTGAATTCTAAAATAAATGTCAAAATTTATAATTTTAAGACAAAAATGTAAATACAGAATGTCAATTTAAGATGATTAGCAATCGCGTGGAGTTATTTACTAATATAATAATTTAGAATAATAAGTACTAATTAATTTTTAGTTAATTCCCTTATCTTAAACATTTGTTTCACCTACTATATTAGTAAAATGTCTATGTTGCTGTTAAACATAAATTTTTCTTTTGTATTCACAGTCTGATCAAAGTTTATTAAAGAAGCCAAACTTAAAGATAATCAGGCGAATGTTGTTATGTATCCTCCTTTGGTGAGTCTGTGGATAAGTGATTATGGCTAACTTCAAAACTCACCGTTGTGGGTTTAATTCCCATCAGGGACTCTTTATTCCTCTACGTGAGAAAAATTTCCAGCTAGCTAATAGATTGTCGATGGACCAACTGAAATTATGCACGGAGCGGAATCTGAGATCCATCTTCATCAGTAAAGCTCTAAAGTCGCCATATGACCATTTACATGTTGGTGCATCGTTAAACCCAACCGAAAAATTAAAGGTTGCCTTTTTGTCACATATTTTTTTCTCGCACATTGTACTAATCAATATCAACTAGCTTTCGTGATCTTTCTATAAACTGACAAATGTCATCATTAATTGAATCAATCACGGCATACATTGCAGTTTTATAACAATACATGTATATTTTAAATTGTAACATTAAAAAATAGCGTTATTGTTACATCAGGAAACAATTATAGCGTTATATTTTTGTGCAAATGTTTGCTATTCATAACAGTTACTGTCAATGAAATTAATCAAACTTTGTAACCAATAAATACGTGATTTTGCAAGAACAAAATATAGACTGACCCAATATTGCGTATGAGATTTGCGACATTAAATGTTTTAACAAGATATTAAGTTGTATTGAGATATGGGAAATATAACAATTTGTATGCAATTTGTAACATTACATGTGTCGTTATTTCAGGCTCGTCTGATACTTTACCGCATACAATAACCAGAGAATACTTTAATGTAATTCCAATTAAATGAACAAATTCATTTGTGAATAGTGACATTCATATCATTCTTAAAATGATATTTGAATTGAATTTAACAACCCTAATGTCTTAAAAACTACAGTTCATTATAAGTTCATCATCAATATTGTCTCTCTGTTAAAAAGTGTTTTATTTGCAATTACAATACACTTCACACCAGTCGATATGTAGAATAGCTTGTGTCGTATTTATTAAGAAAATAGCAAAATTTACTCTCTGACAAGCAGCAACAAAATGTGACAAGTTTGATTAGTTGGTAGCCTCAAAAAGCAATAAATAGTTATTTTTAGAAATATTTGTGCTGGCAAACGCACAACAATTTGTTATTTCAATGATCATGAAACTGTAGGCGTAAGGAACTTTTGCAAAGTAAAATGGTCTTCTCGCTGATATATTAATCCGTTTTCGAGCCAATGTTATTATTAACTTTCAGAAATACAAAATGGTATTTTTATGTTTGTTTTAGTAAGTGTAACAGGAGGGTGAGATCACTTAATGATTTTTTCTGCCGAGTAATATGCATTTTTTAAAATAATTTAAGTACTTTCATAACAAATTTCTTTCTTGTTAAAGTTGGTGGCAACCGTTCGTTTGTCATTGGTTTAATTTACAAACTATCAAACTCGTAAAAGAAACATTAAAACTCTTTTACAATAATCAATGTAACAACGTGTCCCTTACAGGACAGAATTGCTATAATTAAGAACAATATTACATCAATGGAAATCCCACTTAAACTAAACTAAATGTTGGGCTGCGGGCGGTTTGATCGTTTTGATTGATATTGCCAGGATAGCATAAAATCCATATTGGAAATTTGTAGTAAAAATATGACAGTTACATCACTCAATTAACTAATGAAGAAACATATATTTTTTAATATACCATTAAAATCAAACTTACTTCCCTTAATCTAAATGCTAAAAGTTTAAATAAAATTTGTTAATTACAAATAGTAAGAACCTAAGACAGTCAACACATTGTATTCCCTTAATTATGAAGTGTCCATCATGTTTAAAAATATATAATTGGTGCCTTTTATTTTAAAACATTAACATTTAAATTCTCTTTCCGAAGTCAAAACGTCGCATACAGGCATAAAGTGGTAAACGAGCCGGACTAGTATTCCAGTGACTGCTAGCCGCATTGGTACAAACACCGTCAGGGACAAGTCGTTGATTCCTTGAGCAAGAAACACTCGATGCTCAGTACTGGTTGTTTCCTAGAACGGATTCTAAAATGTGTCTATAAGCTTATAGCTTCTTACACAATCCAACTTAAATAAATTATGTATAAACCAAAGTTCTGATACAAAATGTACGTCATAATTCCAAAGATCATGTATTTAGCAGGGTGACATAAATTATAAGAACATTTATTTGGCCTATGGCCTCATCGACGGCGTAGGATGTATATTGATGATTTCAAAAAAAAAACCACATAAGTCTGGCAGTTGTGTGGTATGCAACACATTATTAAATACTTTTTCAAATATCAAAAGCGTTCTTCTATTGTCAGTGCTCCTTTCCTCTCCTGTTGTGTTGCTTTAAGTTTCATTGTCTGTTTAGTCTTTTTTGTCTGTATCGTTGATATCCTTGTGGCTTGTTCCATTAAGTCTTTTTGTCTGTTCCGATTCGTATCTTTTCGTCTGTTCCATTCAGTGCCTTGCAGAATGCTCTATTAAGTATCTGCCAAGTGACATCCCAGTTTGTATGTTTTGCTGTCTGTTCAGTTATGTCTCTTTTGGTCTTTCCCGTTAGTTCTTTTTAATTGTGTTCTGGTCCATTTAGTCTGTATCCTGTGTTTTTAACATTTTAGTCACTGTTTGCATGTCCTATACATTTAGTCTCTAGACATCTTTGTCTTTGTTTTGTGAGTCTAGTTATCATTTCATGCTTTTAGTTGAGAAGTGGAGGATCGAACTCACGGCCCTTTGATGGGTGGGCAGACAGTGTTACCACTGCACCTTAGCGCCCACTCTTGAATATCAGTTCAAAGGCTCGTGGTCGACGGGTTAGAGTCGATGACTTCTAATCCAGTTACCTCTCTGGCGTGGGTCGTTTAGCGCGGAGGAAGGTTGTCTAGTACTGGTGTAACTCTCCAGGAACTATGGTTAGGAAACTACTCGCCTATATGACTGAAATACTGTTGGAAAAAGGCGTAAAATGAAACAAACAAACAAACAAACAAACAAACAAACAAAAAAGTATTGCAATTACATTTTAACACTTTTACTTAGGTAGTCAAACCACGTGACCCTTTATATGTGCAAGGAGATTATTTTTTGATTTAAAAGTATATTTTTTATATATTTTTGCTGTTACTTTTATGATACACTGGCAATTTAGTGGAGGTTACCTGGAATTCTTTTGTATATCAAATAGAACAATATTCATGTAGAATTTTCCCGAAACCGATTTCAAGAGTTGCTTTGGTATCGTAAGCACACGTACAACGCTCCCGATTTTTTTGTACATTTTAAACAAATTTAAAGCAAATTAATGGGCCATTTTTTATAAGTTCAATGAGAAACTTGTAATTGAATTCAATTCGATAATAAAAGAAAATGATATTATGTTCATATCTGAATGTTACAATCCATGTGTATTGACTACATTCTTATTTACACATAATTATAACAATTGTCCATCTGATATGTATATTGATTTACATCTTCTCCCGGTTTTGTTTTGGTGCCTCCTGTGTGCCCTGCTGTGGTAGCTTGGGCGTGTTCATGTGATCATGGCCTTTACCTTGTTGATCTTTATACGTACAGGAATGCAGAATTACAAATGCATTTATGCCATTGTAAAGAATAGTATTGAAGATGGTAAATGGAGAACTGGTATCACTGCTTTTGATTTAAGTCTTGTGAAAGAAGAAAAATTATTGCGTAGAATACATGCTTTATGATAGTGTAATAGTCTTTGTGACATAAGCAAGGTGAAAATTGCAAATCTTGTTAATATAATATATTCTGTGTGATGATTGAAATTCATTGCTTACGAATTAAAAAAATATATAAAAAGGAGTTCTTTATTGAATTATTTCGTTCATTTATAGACCTTTTTCCCCTCATTAAATGGCTAAGGTCAAAAATAAGATACTTTTTTGTTTTTGTTTCCCCTCCCGGAACCTACCCATAAAAATCTCAGCTACCCAAAAATGTGTCGCCAACCCAAAAACATATGTTTTTACTAAACATGCAAGCATACAGTCAATGAGAATCACATTCTATATCTATCTCATGTTTTTGCTTGTATGTATTCAAACTTGGATATATGTTGAATAAAAGTTTAAAAATATAGTTCTAGCCTTTAATTTTACGAAGCATTCATTGTTTTATTCCATATAATTTCAGATAGAACAGACTCCAGATTAAGTTTGCAAATCCGGAATATTTGCAAACTCATGTACCCTTTTAAATATACATGATGTAGATTAAATACAAAAAGTAAATCAAACAGTAATTTGGATGGAATTAGACGATTATTCTTCTTTTATATGAATATAGCACAATAATTAAACGCTGGGCAAGCATTCAAATTGCGGCGTTCCATGGGACTTTTCCAAGAAAAAATATTATTGATAAACATTATTTGTCCTACCTACCCTATGAAACTTGTATGGGTTGCGTGAGGGGAAATCAGATCATTTTAAGTAAGGCCTTATCGAGTACGAACTAAATATAAAATTAATAATTTGACAAGATATGATTATCAGTTTTGTACCTCTAAATTCTTTGATATTTTTCCTTTACATTATTGTCTATCTTTTCAAAATGGCTTCACTAATCTTGATCAATTTTATAATATCAAACTACCTATAGCTAAAATCATAACGTAACAAAAGCTGCTAAAGAATACATGTTCTTTAATTCAAAGAGGATAAAGAGGAATACATAAGCCAAGTACTGAATGATTAAGAAAAACATACCATATGTTTATGAATATGAATAGGTATTATTATTATCAATATTATTATTCTAAATAGATAAAAGATACACGATGATCTAATATGAAGTAAGAAAGACAAAAAGACAAACATTATTCAATCAATGGCTGCTTAAGTAAGTTTTAGTATTTTATTATTTTCATTAAAATGTTCACATTGTATTTATTCTTTTAATATTTTTTGCGCTTGAAAGTTTCTTCGCAAATAGACTGGACACGATCAACACAGGGCCGGTCATTCCAAACGAAACTTCTGCTGGCATGCACGTGCACGCAATCTTCATTATGATAGTTGTCTGGTTGATCTTTCGCCCAGTCTGTGAAAACAGCTTTCGATTGGTCGGCAACCCATTTAAAGACGCCCTCTGTGACACTGTCTGTCAATCCAATCCAAAAGTCAGTACCTATGAATAATATTAGAGGTAAAGAACATAAAATCCTTCAGATAAACAAAAGATACAAGAGTCACCAAAGATATGTTTTATTTCTTCGTAAAATAAAAGGCCTACTGCATTTTGTTTTGTGTTTTTACTGTTTTCTTTCCATAAACATTATCAATTTCTTATTTTCGTGAACCATTCAATAGTTTATACAAATTTTCTGATGCTGCAAAAAGCACAAAACTAATGATTTTCCCGGTTGTAGGGGAAAAGTGTATTTTGACAAAAGATAGGATAACGACCTGAGATTAGGGAACTTTCTTTGTTCGCTAAGCATGTGCTATGTATTAATTATTTCACGTATATATTTTGTTTGTTTTGTTTTACGCGCACCAACACAGTACGTATATGTCCTATAGCGCCATAACAGGAAAGATGCTTTTGGCTAACCTAGGTTTTTAAACTTGAAGCAACAGCAGGTGTCAGAACCACCTCACCTGCAGAGATTCCAGTAACTTGATCCCAGTTATTTCCCTCTTGTGATCACGCAGGGATAAACGGTGACCGCAATTTTGATGCCTCAACCCTTTGAGGTATCCCAACAAGAGGAAAGTATACATATAAACTGACATAAGGGTAACCCATGAAGGGAAAAAATATATACTGACGTTGAAATCAACGTTTTTCAGCAGTGGTGCTTATAAAGAAAAATAAAGAAAAGATAAACATGACGAGAAAAATGGGCAATTGATTGTTTGCGCAATGTTTCAAGCGATGATGATTACCGTTTGCAGAACTTTTACAGGGATTGAATTGAATTTCTAGTTTCAATTTATCGCCATGGATTTCGAATCTTGATGGCATCCATACCAAACATCTTTTATTCGTGTAAAAGCACATATTCTTAAATATTTGGATTTAAACCCTCTATAAATAGTTTAGACACGACTTTTAAGTATAGCAAATTGTTCAGCAGGTAAGTTTGTTTTTTTCGTTTGTTTTTCTCTATCAAGTATAGTACAAAACATTTTCCTATTTAAATAATTTGTAGATCTTCTGTTTCACACATATATAAAGATGTTTAACCCTTTATCTTAATTCCATGACAAATCCAACGTTAAAATCAAACGAAAGACTGAACAGTGTAACAAATTAGATAATTATACATTGTGCTTGAAAAATACTGACCTTTTAAAGTGGTTAGGTGTTTTTTAAGGAATGTGTTTTCGTTTGCGTCTTCAATAGTGACTAAATCAGCACCATGTTTTTTACAATTGACCTGCAAATATATAATTGTTTCTGTTTTTTTATTCATAGAGATTTGATTTTGAAAAAATAATGGTCTTATTAATCGAATACAAATTCATTTGACAAGAAAAACATACAAATCCATTTTCGGATCATTAATTTCAGGAATAGCGTAAAAGTGTGTCAAAATCATTTTTTTTTATTAAATATTATTATTATTTTACACACCTGCGCTTCGCGGTCCTTCGAGAATGACATAAACAGTGTAAAATAACAAACAATTTTATATTTAACCTACCTCCGCTTCATGAAATGTACATTGGTTCTGAACAATTAAGTAGCATGACCCTTGATATCGTATCCATCCATCTTGGCATCGAGCTTTACAAGTTTTACCTCCCGTGCCTTTGGGAAGAAAAATAAAAGTTAAAATTTATTTTGTACATAATACATAGGATAATTAATATTTTAAACATATCAAATATTATAAGAACTTTACAAGACATGAATGTAAAGGTTACATCAAACGTTCAATATAGATATCATGACAACTTATAATTTCAATATTGGGCTCAATCTGAAGTATAGACTGATACCAGTACAGATGTTGTAGATTTTCAGCATAAAAGGTTTTGTAGATAGAAATATAAAGTTAACGATAATTTTTTTGTCATTTTCGGGACTATAAAATGTTAGTTACTAAACTGGTGAATTAAATAAGTTACTTTAGATAAATATTTCTGTCAACTCATTATCTTCATGAACATTTTAAAAAGTAAATCAGAATCAATTATTGAACTAAGACATGCCTCATTCCTGATTAATTTTAAAAAACACTACGGGGAAAGTTATTTAAACCGGATAATTATGATTTAATCTTATTTTCAAAACAAGTTAACTAACAAAAACCCAAGGATGTCTACAATAGACAAGTACAAAAAGCTGTAATTTGTGACGAAATTTTGATACTTGCTATTAAGTTACTATTCATATGTCAAACATGGAATGTTTAATGTCCATTTATTATAACTTTAAACACCAATTGATTTATTTCCTTACATACGCATTTTTATAATACAAATGTCAATTACTCTGAATAGAGTTTCAACTAAGGTGATATTTTGACTTATCCTATACAGTTATTAAGCCTATAAACTAACAAGGATAAAAGCTTCGAAAAAAGTAAAGACTGCTTTATCAACGTACAGAAGAATTGTATGAAATTACATATTAATTAACGAACCTCTTTATATACATTACGATTAGATACTGTGTCAGTTAAGAAAACCAAATTGAAGTCGGTTTCAGGCTTTTGTTTGGATTGCCTGAGGACCCGTTTTCTCAAAGTCCTATTCAAGTCTATGCATAAAGAGAAATTACATATCACAAACACCTTTATACCTTCCCATCTGTGTAATCAAATTACCCGAAATGTTTGTAGCTGTTTTTGCGTATTAAATGCAAATATTTTGACAGTTTTACTTCTTTACAAACTTGTGAACATCCTGTTCAGTTTGATTTTAACCAGTTCATTCGCATCCGGGATGATGTTATCATATATTATGAATCCGTGATGCGGTTCATAATTACAAAAAAATATGTTATTTATTCTCAATGAAATAAGTTAAGGCACATAAAGAAATACCTTTCTACTTTCAAATAAAAGTATTCATTTATCAAGTATTTCTAACATCGGGATACGGATCTTGGTTTAAAGCTTTAAAAAAGGTTAAGAAATTAAAAAGTGTAAAAACTGTCACATTCTGTACCTGAATTTGTAAATTGAATGCCGCGAATTAAGCAATGGAAACACTGAATCTGTGTAAAGCTTTTGCCGAAAAGGGTAGCGGACCAATATATTTTTTTTGATCTAACAAAGAAAGGAATTAGGGCCTACGGCTGTCGTGATATAATACTTTATGCAGCATTATACATATTTTCAGTATTTTAAAATGTTCCGATTATGCTTGTGAATGACGACCTTTCAACCATTTGAAAACAACTTAAGTGTTTTGTCGATATTATAAACTACAATAACGCATTTCAACTCATTACTTTTATATTATACCCTAGACATTTGCCAAAATACTTTGACAAAATAGCAGACAGCTTCAAGATTTATGCCTTGTTATGAAAATTTTGAAATTGTATTAAAAAGTAAAATATTGTGAAATGAACAAATAGCGTAATTTACACATTTAATGGCACTTAACATCCACGTCAAATAGGTCATAATTAAATTACGGAAAAATCGCCCTTCCTGCGTAAGTCACGCAGTAGAAATATAGTGATAGATACTGCAAAATCATTCATTAATCAAACATAACATTTAAAGTTGTTACTTAAGACTTGCATCCTTTTACTAAACTATTCTAAAAATCACAGTACTCTTTCTCAAGGTTGATGTTTTGGAAATATTTTGCTCCTGCATTTTACAGTAGGGAAAAGGATTAAATATTATTTTGTTACGTTGTATAAGGCAACGAGCGTATCTAATGTTTCACGAAATCGGCATTACAATGTAAATGGTGTCAGTCATATTGTATATTTTATTAAATATCACATGAGCAGATTTGGCATACGAAAATAAAAAAAAAATCAGTAAAGAAATATATGCTTTATTGCGTTAATGATTTTCAAAGGAGCACAAAAGCCTCACGATTTATGATATTAAAAGGAAACACATTCATGTAAAAAATTTAAATGTGATCTAAAACATTATGTCTAAACTATATTCACAGGTCATTTATTTCAATTAGATGTAATTGTAATATTTAAAATAGATAAATACTGAATCCCTAAAGAAAGCCCAACACGGCAAAATTGTAAATGTTGCAGGCTCGGTTTGATTGAGCCTGTTCATGGACAGTACTGAAATGTGCAAGTTACCGTCCACGCCCCCTAGCACCGGCTTAAGCAGAATTCAACATTTAAACGTGAAATAGTAAAATTTTGAATTTCGAAACATCCGCAGATGTGTTCATACAGCGGTTTTCATGGAACCTTCAATGCGACACTTCCGTGCCATTCCATGAAAAGCGGCGTATGGTCCCCAATTAATAAAAAGCGTGTGCCCTAAACGAGAAAACAATGGGCGGAACTAAATAAAATGGAATTTTGAAAGGGGATCAGAGGTTACGAAGCCTGCGTATCACAGACAAGACGTCAAAAGACAAATTTAAAAAGCAGGCAACATATCCTAAGGGTGATTCAACATTATTCAAGTAGGAATATTGGAACCACCCAACTAGAAAATGCCGAAAAGTTGAAACTAAAAATACCACAAGCACAACAATAATGTCGTGCTGAACGATCTTCAAGGATCGAAAATATAACATCATTGATTAAATGTACGGGGAGACTTTTTACAGCCGCCACACGGCACAAATAACACGGATGTGATCATAAAATAGATAAATACAAAATCCCTAAAGAAAGCCCAACACGGCAAAATTGAAACATGTGCATTCTCATACTGTACTGAAGTTCTCTTTTCGGCCATAGGATTGCACAATTTTTCATTATATTCTAGAACAACCCCAGCGTTATTTTCACATCCCTGCGTTACTGGATATACACTTATGAAAACACGATGTACTCAATTATTTAAAACTTCCTTTCAAAAATGATAATATCAAGTAAAGATGTTTGATTGCCTTAAAGAAAGTTAATAATTGTAATATGTACCTCGTTTGCTGACTTGTGTCAGCAGCTGATCTAGTTTGATTAATTTTTTCCGCTCATCGGAGGCCCTCACCAACCCCGTCGCCGCAATGCAGTAAACACAGCAAAACACAAGAGCGACTTCTAACAACCACCTCATGTTTGATACGTTAAACAAATTAAGTCTGTTGCAAAGTCCTTCTATCGCTTGTTATAAGGTGTTGAGCATAAATACTATCAAATCGCACGTTAAGGTTCATTTCCTTTCAAACTAAAACGCCCAAATGCTAGTATTTATCTTATGATTGGTTCTTTAGTTTTGTGGGTGTCAGGAGGCGGGGCTAAACTTATTATTGAATGTGTTATATAACTAATATTAGATATTTTCTGTTTAGCTCAGAACAATTAGTATTTGTCCAATATGATCCTTGTTTTGTTGAATTAATTCAAGATGTAAGATGGTAATCCTTAATACTACCTCCTATGATCAGAAATCCCTTAAAAACCATCCTATTTTGTTTATTTCGATTATGATTTATTGCCCACATTTTCAAACAATTTTCAAATGTATCCTTGTGTACATAATCATATCATACATAGCTTAAAGTCTTTACATTATTAGCATAGGCTCTCACCCATGAGAGATATATTTTATTGTTAAAATATACTCAGTTTCAAAAGAAAATGAAAACTTGGTTTACATGAAAAGGGTTCGACTTAATGAGCAAAAATATTTCCATAGCATATTTCGGTATCAATATTTGCAGAAATGTACTACCTGAATGTTCACATTTTATTGAAATTAGATTATTAATTCTAAATAAAATTTTGTTTCACGTGTAAATAGCTTAACCATTGCGTAGGCACTACAATTCTACACATTGTGATACAAAATATGCTAATATTGTCCCCAAGTAAGTATACAAAATTCCTAGTGAACATGTGCACACTTTAATATGCAACTGAGAATATATTTTTTTATAGAAATAAGCAAAAAAGGGGTTAGATTAAAATACTTGAATATATAAAGGTGTATATTATTCATACAAAATGTGTTCAACCTTAGAAAAGAACATTTACAAAAACATGTTAAGTAAAAACTGGTCCGAGGATGATTACCTTGACTTTGAAAATTATCTTATTATATCGACAGATAATCCACTATCATGGGCGAAGGATTTAAGAAATGTCAATAGCTACCACTACTAACGCTATCATATAGCGTATTTACGCATATTATAAATTGTATAGCTGTGCCATGTTGCAAATGTCAGTGGCACAGACATGTATGTTATAAATGTGTCAGGTTGGGTGATCACGTGACATTTGGTCACAATTATATCGTGTCAGCGCTAATGACCACGTCCATAACATGCTCGTAATATTACGCTTTATCTTTTATTTTTAATTTTAAAGAAAAAAGAAATAGATGTTCCAGCCAGATATTTGCTAATTTCAATTAACTTACCGCTTTTTGTATGTTAAATATTTCACAATCAATTTCAACAATAATAAAAATCCATCCGAAAACTTAATTCATTGTGATCATCTTGAAACTGCGTGTTTTTTTTTTTTTGTTTTTTTTTTCTTTTTCTAATTTGTTTTTATTTTATAAGTATTATTAAATAACTAATAAAAATGAACCTACACTTTATTAAAGCAAATGGCGGTATGGCCGAGTGGTTAACGCGTCATAATAGTAATCTAATGATCGCTTACCATATGGGTTCAAACCCCGTCAGGGGCAAGTCATTGTTTCCTTGAGCAAGGAAATTTACATTCATTACCCAGTACTGGTTGGTTCCAGGAACGGATTCGAAAGTGTATCTATAAGCTTATAAATTCTATAAAATACTAGAAACAAATATATGATCTGAAACCTAATTAGAAATGAAGTTGCATATGTAAACAAATTATTATTAAAATATTATCATACAACTTAAGCCAACTGAAGCCAATTAAGGCCATGAAACGGACGGACCGACGGAGCCAAAGGCAAGCAAACAGACTGACATGATCGCTCATATTAACCAATGAACTTTATATTTGGTTATATAAATCTAAAAGCAAGCTTCACAAAAAAGGGTTGTCATAGACACGGTTGAGCCGGATATAAGCTATGTTCTTTTTAATTAATTGTTGTTTTTTTTTGTTGTTGCCAGCTTGCCATAAAATATCAATGCATTTTTCTCAAAAGCTGTTTCAATAAAATGTATGCACATTTAACGCAAACAAGTCTAAATATCATAAATCATACCAGTTTGAAATAAAAAATAATGCTGATGCAAGTGGTATTTGTAATCAAAACTGTTTTGAAAACAGGATGTTTCTTTTTTTAATTTTGTAAATGTATACCGAAATATAATTACTCTTATCTTAATATGTAAAGGACGATGACAGTTTGCAGTAATAGAAAGAATATTTTATTAAGTTTCATATTTGAATGAGCATATAATTCATCACGTGAGATAACGATTAAGCGTTTCATAGAATGGTGTAAAGATTAATGGCAATAGGTACAGAATATATTAATGCAAAGTTGTAAATTATAGGAAACAAACATGAAATAAAAAGTGTTGGTTTTCATTCTCGATAATATTTAGCTTACAATTAGTCACTAAAATGTTTTATGTTAAATTTACATATTAAATATATTTAAAAGCATACTCTGCCTCAAAAATCCGTTTTTATCAAAATTCATCAAAATTGTCAAACATGTGTTACATAATATTTTTATAACGGATTTTGAAGAATGAGTTGTTTAACAACTAAGGAAAGAAGCGTTGAGCGTTCAGTGGTGTGTCGTCAAGATATCAAAATGTAAAAAAGTATTTTGACTTCCATACAAAATACTTATATACTATAAAAGATATTACACACATTGCCAACAAAGCAAAATGACAAAAGGAGAAAACAATAAGATAATTCATATAGCAAATAGCATATTTCTATGAAAAATGTAAAAAGAAACAAAACCAAAAAAATAATGAAAAAAAAAACAAATAAATAAATAAAATGATAAAAAAGAAGGAAAAAAGAGAAGTTTTAGACAAAATAAAACTGTGAGCATTTTTGATACGTAATAGGGCTGTAATAAAACATTGTTGTCGGGATGATAGTGTACGAAAGTTGATATTGTCAACTCGAGAAATGGTCTGAGGCGACGCATTAGGATTGTAAATAATTATTTATGTTCAGCAGATAATTTCGGTGGGAATGGTTTCAAAAGGGTATTTCTCAAAATGTCAACAAGTTTGTTAAAATAAATGTTCTACAATTAGCAAAAATTCTTAATATCACAAAATCTTCACTCTTATACACATGGACATGAAAAGGATTGTTCTCGTAAATTTATCGATTCTGTTTCACTCGAATGCATGAAGTACAAACAATTATCAGAAAAAATATGGAGTTGCAAGAAGAAGGAAAAGAAGGAGAAGAAGAAGAACAACAACGACGACAACAACAACAAGAAGAAAAACAGCGTTATTTTGTATCCGACGTATTGTCCAAAATAAGGATAATTCCTTTAAAGCCATCAATTTCTGTGTTAAAAACACATTACAATTGTCCCTTTCCATAATTTAAGAAACAAAATTACCTGTTAATTAAGACCACCTAACTTTAAACACAACTTTTATGTTTTCTCCATAGTGATATTCCCTTAACAAATTGACATCCCTTAGAAGAGTGCACATTGGTGATATTTCTTATTTAATTATTAAAAATCGTTCTTATATATAGTTATATGTCTGTTTCTGTCTTAATCTGAGTAAGCAAGTCTTTTTTGTCTGATTTGTCAACTTCACTTCTCTTAGAGTTCTTTTTCTTCTTATCTCTTGCATGATGTACCAGAAAACTGTAAAATATAAAAATGAAGGATTTGGCAAAAGATACAGGTTTCAATAAATATCAATTTATTATAAGACATAGTAAGTTATTACATAGGCTGATATATATGTAGGCACATGTTAATATGCTGAAAAATAAAACAATTACCAGTTACTATATAAGAAATGAGTAGTACATTTATTGGGAACATACCCATGGTTATTCAGGTTTTCTTATTCCAGATAGAGTACCATGTCTTCGAACTTCTAATTCAGGTAACATATGTATGAAATAGAAAGCCTTTAATTTGGGAATCATAACTTTTCTCCATAATTCTGTATCATAGTTTAGGCGTTGAATAAATAGATTTACTCTTCGAATTATTAAATCACACCATTTGTTATTCATAATATTCATCTGACCTTGTATTTGGTAAAAATATTAATGATCTTTTTAGTTGAATTATGCCATTTTGCACTGAAAAACAAAAGGCTTTATCATGTTCTTTGATCATTGCTTTTTTGTTCAGTTATAACTTCAATGAGACCTTCATGACCTTTGGATCCAACCACTAAACTATCATCGCTGGAGGCTGCTAATAAAGGATTCTCTTTGTCAACTATTAGACCCGGAATATCAATTTTGTACTTAAAAGTTTCTTTTTTCTATTTCAAATTAATGTACTCAATTCTTGCATTATCCTCTTCACTTAAGTTTTTCAAAGTATACATATTTCCTTTAAAGTTAGAATATAGAAGCCTTTAAACTACATTCGGACTGATATTATTTTGAGATTTTGATATCACTTCTCCAAATGCAGAACTTGTGGGTCTTTTCTTTCTCTTTTTTAGCAAACAAGATTTCTTGACTGACCACTTGTATGTTGTTTAATTAATTTATTAGTGCATGTAGATATGATTGTTTTATAAAACATATCACATTCCTTTTTTAATTGTGATTGGCTAATATCAGCTGTAACTTGCAGCACGCTTTCACCATCTGTAGCGTACAATCCCTTTGTCTGTCAGTATTAATGAAAACTCTATCTGGGCGTTTACCTGTAAGCTGATTGTAAACTTGTAGTAACCATGCTGGATCCAGCAAAGACCTTAACGTTCCACCATAACATCTTGCATAAAATGAGTCACGGAAAAATTATCATTTTATGCTCATCCACGACTCGGCTCAGTTACTGGTAAAGTTACCAATCAGTCTGTTTTTGCCTTTTCAGACAGACGATTCAAAAATAGATATAATATAATAATATTAATATTAATATAATAATTTTTCTGTGATATTGTGTTACCGCCTTTTCTCAACATTTCAGTTTCAGAGTAATTTTTTGAAAGAATCAGTCCTGACATTGGTTTATTATAATA